ACTGGTGGAGGAGCCTACACTCCAGCTTTCCCTCTGAGCACAAGCCCCTACACCTGTGCCCGTCCAGAAAGGACTTCCAGAAGTCAAGGGAGTTCACACAGAAGGCTCCTGACACGGTTCCTGGCGCAGGGAATAATATCACTTCCCTTACCTTCCTCCTTCCTCCCACCTGACCTCACTGAAAAGGTAAGATTGGGCCCAACAGGAAAGGCCAAGCCCAAGTGATGTTCCCTCCTGCTGCTGGCCTTGGTGCTCCCAAGGGTATTGCAGAGACTGGTGGCCTCCTGGCTATTCCTTGGGCTGGTCCTACCTCCCCATCAATAGGAACTCCTCGAGGCTAAGACTGTGTAGGAAGCTGATGCTCATGGCAGCCAAGAAGTATGAAGAGTATGGGAAACTCTTTTGTTGATAGTTTGATATAGATGATACTGCAATGGTAGATGCATGTCATTTTACATTTGTCAAAACCCATAGAATGTACAACGCAAAGAGTGAACAGTAACATGAACTATGGATTTTGGTTAACAATAATGCATTAATGTTCGCTCATCGATTGTAGCAAAAATACCACACCAATACAAGGTGTCAATAACAGGGGAGCTGGGGGAGTGAGGGCTAAGGGAGTATTTGAGAACTCACTGGACTTTCTGCTCAATTTTTCTGTAAACCTAAAACTGCCCCTGAAAAATAAAGTTTATTAATTAAGAAAAATACTACTGCCTCTGAAGTCATTATGCACAAAAAGTAATAGCATACTACACAACAGGAAACAAACTTTTCAAGTAAATTTTGAGCCAAATTGATAGAGATTTACTTTCACAACTTCCTCTATAAAGTTGGTCAAAATACCTTGACAATGGTGGGGAACCTAGCACATTAGAAAAAATTTTAACTAGCAAAAATGTGAATTTATTCTAACTCTTCTATCAACAAGAAATAAACACATGCTCTAAAGTAGAAGATAGACAGAGCTTCAGGAAGAATACACTGAATGTGATCATGTAAACACCTCGAAAAAGTATATCAAGATAACTAAATTTTCATAATGCAAAAAACAATGAATTAAACTGGTAAGTCTGCGTAAAGAGTATATGGGAATTGCTTGTACTGTACTTGCAATTTTTCTATAAGTTTGGACTTATCAAACTAAATTACATCAAATTGAAATGATACCAAAATTTTAAATTACCCAAAAAGTACTCATGGCAACCGAAATGACTCTGTTAGTCACATCAAGAAGTGGGGAGGGGCACACGTAGAGCATAAAATGGGGCAGGGTGACCAGAAGGGGCAGAATGGCAACCCACCGAGCTGGGTTTACCCTCCAAGTTAGCCCAGAGCCTGGGTCTGGGTAGAGACAATAAATATGAGTGCCCTACCCTTATAGAGGCACCTTCTCTGAAAAATGCTTCTCCAGGAGGGAAATAAACTCCCAGGTTAGCAAAGAGAGGGAAAAAGAGGGTGACATTGCTTTAAAGGATGGGAGGCGCTGGGTCTAAAGGGATACCATCCCCAGAGATGTGAAGAGAGCCTCAGATCCACTCTTACCTCTGAGCAATGATGAGAAGAGGAGCATGGGTTTCTTCACCTGGCAAACACTACCTGGCCCTTCGTATCTGCTAGTCACTGCTGGCCAGGCACTGGGGAAAGCAGCCATGAACAGGACAGACATGGTACTGACCTCACTGAGCTTACAGTCTTGGGAGGACATAGATGGGAAAGGCTCTCTGGTAAGGCAGGGACAGAGCTAAAAAGGCCAGGAAAGGAGAGGCGTTGCTTCTTCTTGTTTGAACAAAATTAATCATCAGCTTTATCCTCAGTTTTGGCAAGCAGAATGTCAAAACTCTTTTATGTCTAAGGGGGGAGGAAGACCTCTCCCTCAGTTATTCTGGGGTGCAAAGCTAGTCACTGGACCAGCTTTCAAAAAGTATCCCAGGGTTTTCAGGAAGTGAGATAGCAATCCCTCTATGCCTTCCCCCACTTTCCCGTCACAGCCTCCAAATTTGGAAGTTAGAAAAAGCTGTCAAGTTGGGCTATGATGACCATGATCAAAGTGCCATGGTAGGAAGAGGTTATCAGGCCTCTGAAATAAAATCTTTTGAAGTCTAGCCTGGTGACCTCCATTCAGTACCACAGACTCCCCTGCATGCTTTGTGGTAACCCAGTTACCATAGCAACATATACAGAAAGGAGGAGGGTCTAGGCCCCATATGGAGCACCACTGAGGTGTGGATGAGGACCTGCACCACCCCAGCAGCAGTGGCTAGCAGTTTGCCCCTAAAACTGCACAGCCCAGGCTTCAATGACCACACCTTACAAGCACAAGAAGCTACTGCTTTTGGGGGACAAGTGAGTGAGACCCCAGCTCCCTGCCCCTTT